AGGTTTATGTCTGATGAGCGTACATCGCAATTATTTAAAAGAAAACAGTGAGTTTATTGAAAAGACTGTCATAGACAAATTTTCGGCAAATCCAAGAAGATTACTGTTAAATTAATATATATATATTATGATTATTATATATATAATATTTTGTTTTGTGTCATAATCAAACTAATTAATAAAAGTCAATTTTCATGATTTTTTGTTTCAATATACCCGACCGACCATCTTCTCGAAACAGGTATGAGCTGCCCCTCCCTAGCTGAAATTCTGGGTACGCCCTTGAATTCGTGCCCGCAAAAATTGTCATTGCTTAGGAGTCATACTGACTGACGCACTTCCGCCAACGAACGAAGTGATAATGTCACATTATGTATATATTACTTAATCTAGTAGATTCTTTCTTTGTGAATCCAACGATATTAGGTTACGAGGAAAATATGTTCAAACAAAAATGTCAAATGTGGCAGGAAAACAATCAAATCAACATGGAGATTTAATATAAGAAACATATTATTACCTCACGTGTTTCTGTAGAACAATATAAACATGTTATTTAAGGTATCTTGCAGTTTTTAATGACAATGCAACGAGACATGTCAATTTTTATTTTAACATTTTTTTATGTAAAATGAGGTGCTGCCTTTTTCACCTATCTCTTTGGTGAAATCTAAAATGTACCTAATTAGTCCAGGAAACGAACAGAAAAATAGAGTAAAACCTCCGAATACTTTCGGATAGATCCGATTTTTATGAAAATTTGGAATTAAGCTTATATCACCCTGTCGATGAACAGTTATATATGCCTGATCGAACTACGACCCAGAGACTACGAGTCATCACACTCCTCGAGTAGATCTAAACGGGCAGAATAATTTATTGGATGAGTTGGTAGGAAATGAAGATAGAACACCTGTACTGGGCTGCAGGTTAAATCAAGCTCAGTGGCGCTCAACAAATCAAATTCAAATGAATGAAGACAGACTTGTAGATAATATGTTAAGCAAGGCTATAGAAAAGGTGGTACTAGTTGCTGGTAGGCCACAGAAGGAACAGTGTACAACAGTAGTAGCTAAAGAATTTGAACCTAATTATGCTGGGTCTGACTATGAAAACCCGGGGAAATTTTTGAGAAAAATTCAAGATATTTGCGTACGTGAAAAAATTATGGAAATGGATTGGACAAGAAATGCGATGAGTCGGCTAACAGGAGAAGCTGAAGAATGGTATGAACAATATAAATACTTCGAATGGAGTTTTCAAGAATTTTCAAAGAATTTGTTAAATCGATTCGATAATGCATATCTCAGGCTAAATCTACAACGAGATTTGTTCTGTGGAACTCAGGCAGATCGAGAGAAAGTGGTACGATTCATTGCAAGAAAAATGGCGTTGTACAGAAGATTGAATTTGGGAATGGATCCTAGGACACTTGTGCCGCAAATATGGGCGTTGCTCAGGCCAAATATTCAGTTGCATTTGGTGGGAGTGAGAATTGCTAGTATAGAAGATTTATCCACCACGGCACAGGAAATAGAGGCCGAAAATGGAAATCGACCCAGGACGACGCAGTTTACATGTTGGTGTGGAGGAGGTCATATGAAATGAGATTGTCCTAGGCGTGCCTTACCTGGTCCTAATCCAAATGAAGGTAGAAGGCCTGCAATAGAATCTGCGGAAAGAAATCAAGGTAATAATAATCGAGCACTTCCTGGAGGTCCTTCTCCGGAAAATCCAAGAAGATCGGAAAATTAGAGGTGGCTCTCTGCCCTGGGGTCGGCAGTGGGCGAATGACCATAGACTTCGCTCAAGAATTGACAACGAGATGTAATTTACCCAAAATATTGTTGAAGTATGAAGATTATAAATTAACCGCATTAATTGATACTGGGGGCTACAAATTCTTTTCTCAGGACGGAATTATACAAAGAAGAAATTCCAAAAAATGGAAAATGGGTATCTTTGGCAGATGGAAGGGAAATTTGGGCCTCAGGACCGGTAGAAATTAAACTATGTATAGAAAATTGCCTCATAAAAAGCCAAGTTTACTTAATGGAACAGTTAAGGGAAGAAATAATATTTGGACTGGTTACAAGGTCAGGAAGTCACGGTAGACTATAAACAAAGCGGTATATGAAATTGGAAGTGAAAAATTGTCAAGAGGCTTGGATACCCCATTACGAAAGTATTTTAAACGATTTTTCTGACATTTTTCAGTAAGACCTGCTTCAACCATGTACCCACCTGGTTAAACATGAAATAAAATTACGGGAAAATAGACCATTTAAGATTCGGAGGTATATTCCCCGGAAAAGAAGTTACCCAGAAAGAAAAGAAGAAAATTACCCAGGAAGTTACACGAATGTTACAGGCCGATGTGATTAGGAGGAGCCACTCTCAATATAGCTCCCCTACAGTTCTTGTGGAGAAACCAGATCTGTATCGACTATCGACAACTAAATTCCATTACGGAAGATGAAGTCTCGATTTTGTCACCCATATCAGAAATACTCAAAGATATAGGCGAAGCCACAGCGTTTTCATCGCTTGATTTGCGAAGTGGGTATTGGCAAGTGCCAATGACCGAAGAAAGTGTACCGATGACGGCATTCCATACACCCGAGGGGACGGCATACGAGTTTGTCGTGATGCCCTTTGGGTTGAAGAACGCTTCATCAACTTTCCAAAAGTTAATGTCCAAGGTTTTAGAACGACTCCGATGCCATGCGTTGAAATGCACGATAAGAAAATGTAAATTTGGAATTAATGGGTCATCGAGTAACGGCCACGCATAACGAGGCTCAGAATAAACACTTAGAGAAGATCCAAACTATTACTAGCCCAACTTCTCAGAAGGAGTTACAGAAATTTCTTGGGGTTGCTAATGGGCTTCGGGAATATTTGTTAAACTTCTCCATCATAGCCGTACCAATGACACCATTACTTGGGCAAAGAAAGTTTGTATAGGATCGCGAAGCAGAGGAAGCCTTCGTAAATTTGAAACGAGCATTAGCTAATCAACTAAAACTTCACCGACCTGATTTTAAAGAACGTTACAAACTGATGCCAGGTCCTGTGGGATAGGAGCAATATTGTATCAAAATGAACCCGATCACCAAAAGTATGTCATTTCCTGTGCTAGCGCGAAATTTTCTCGTGCCGAGACCAAATACCATGCTAACGAACAGGAGGTGCTGGCGGTGGTATGGGCCATTCGAAAATATAGACATTTACTGGAAAATCAAGAATTTACGTTAAGGACAGATAGTAGAGCCTTGATGTGGCTCGAGAAGTACCGGGATGCCGTGCTAAGCTCACCCGGTTCGCTTTACTCCTCCAGGAGTTTAAATTCACAGTGGAACATTGCGCAGGGGCCCAAAATCATCTCCCCGACTTCTTAAGCCGGAATCCCGATAAAGAGATTTTAATACCAATAAATGAAGACCGACTAAACTCTCCAGGACCTCCTCCACAGATGAATACTCATGAACAAGTGATATTGCAATCTGTTAACCCGAACTTGACCTCCCCGGATACTCGCTCTAGAATACCGCCTGTTTTCCTGCATTCAGTGGAATTGAACCAGATTGATGAGGAACAGTTATCATTATATGAACAAATCGTTAGAGCATAGGATGAAAGTCCCGAATATACTGCTACTAGGATAAGAGCACCTGGTTGCAGAGTGGAGAAGATCATGCTGATACTAATTGGAAGAGAATTCTAAGAGATGAGTATGAAGTCCGAGAAGAATTAATCTGGTTCAAGGAAGGGGAAAGTAGAAGACTAGTAGTACCGCTTAACTTTTGGAGAAGAGTTATCCATGTGTTTCACGATAGCCCAGATGCGGGACATCCGGGAAGAGACGAGACCATCCGGGGAGTAGCGGAGCTTTCCCATCATAAGGAAGCAAATTAAAACTTATGTGAGATACTGCTTGGTTTGTGCGACGACTAAGAGGGGAGGAGCGTGGCAAGAAAAGGCTCCTTTGAAGCCCCGGTGCCCACAGCGCCCTTGTCAAGTAATTAGCATCGACGTGATGAGACCCTATAGGAAGACTGCTAAAGAAAATACATTTTTGACTGTATTATCCGACCTATGCTCGAAGTGTGTTGAAGCAGTACCAGTGCCTTATATGAGACCCCGAATTTTGATAAATTTTCAAGTATTTCAAAGATGGGGATATCCAGAAACAATCATTTCAGATAATGGTCTGACGTTCCGCAGCAGAGTTTGGACCTGATATTTAGAACGACATTTAGTTAATCTATACTTTACACCGGTGTACCATCAGAGGGCCAATCCCGTTGAGAAAAGGAACCAAGAGCTGAAGAAGCTCCTCCACGTTTACTGTAACGAACATAGTGAAGATCGACGGTATGGGAGCATAGAATATATACTGTTCACACTGCGTAATAGGAAGAATGCAGCTATTGATGTAAGTTCCAGCGTGGCTTGTGACGGTGTTTGGGGAAACCGCCACAAAACTGGGGGTAGTTCCAAAATTTTGGGTGGCTGTAGTGGACGAAGGGGACGGATAATATTCACAATAGGGGTTGGCAGCTAGCTTCAGTGGAGACGGGCTGGGTAAAAAGCATAAAATCAAAAATTTTAAAGGCGCCACCCGTTTTTGCAACCCCGGATGTTACTTCTACCCTATAAGATGGTGGATTTTATTCGCCACAGTGCCTTCGTTGCTACTATACAAAAAAAAACGGGAAAAAGGCAGGTCCACCAAAAATGATACCAAATACTTCTGAACTAGGTGTATATTACTATAAAATATTATAATTGTCAGGGTATGACAAGTGATCGGTTCACTTCCTGCACCAGTGGAACGCACCTGATGCCTAGCGGGAAAATGTTACTGTTCAGTGTTCACTGGCTGATGACTGACCGCCGAGTCAACCGTGTTTTGTGGCCGATGGCCGAGTAGGTTAAATGCAAAAATGATATGAAATCTACTATGTTGTTCTATGGTTGACTGTCAAAAGCGTCAAATTTGAGTTATGTTATATTGCATAACGCAAATTACCCAAATAAAAGTATTATAGAGTATACAATGAAATATCGGGTAAATAACCAACCGAATGGTACCTTTACTACAGCGCTGTACTACAGGCTTACACAGGTAACCCCCACGATTTGTTGAATATAACATCTAACAAGTAATGACCTCTGAAAGGTTACTTATAATCTAAGTTGTTTTAGGAATGCCTTGTTGGGTTGTATATAACTCTAAAGAAGTGTGGCACCCTAAGCCAATTTATACCACAAGAGTGAGGCTCTTGACGAAGGTATACAAACAAAACAAACATAAACAGATCTTAAAACTACATTATAACATGCTAAATCTTATAGCTAGTCTTATCTGTGAGAGTGGTGTGTAGCACAGTTGCACAGGTCGAATTCCTCTGGAGCGAAAAGTTCTATCTGGGTGAAACGGAGAGTCAAGCGGTACATGCACCAATCACTAGGCCTGGGAGGGTGCAGGGTGCAAAGCGGCGTGCAGCAAAGTGTATGGCCAGCACAAAATACTCGCACTTTTGTCATGCATACCATGCAGCAAGCAGTAGTGAAGCGGGTTGGTAGTGTGGCAAGAAGGCTGCGATAGCTTTTAAGTCGGTGTATGAAGGAGGAGAATAAGCAGGATAGAGAAGACACAAAAAAGGCCTAAAAGGAAAAGTAAATGCTACAAATGTCTACTAATGTGTACTAAATTAATAAAGCGAGTTGTACAGCTCAAGCACATGTTTTTCCTAACCTAAAGTAGGTACGTACCTTTGTTGTAGGTCGGCCTTAAAAGTGAAATATTTGAAATTATCTTTTATGGGCACTTAGATCTATCTCTGTTGCGAAAAATGCCAAAACTAATTTTGCCCAATAAATAATCTTTAAAAATCCGCAAAATTTGCGCGAGGCCCAAGCATGGCCAGGAGTATATAAAAAAGAGGTTTTTTTATTTCAAAAATTTCTTTAGCTCAGTACTTTAGGGGAATTTTTCCTTTGGCTAACCTGCTAACCTTACCTTGACATAGAGCATAGAAAATAGAGATGTGTTGCTCTTTCATTGTCTGCTACTTTGGCACTGTTCCGCAGTTGTCACTGGAGCTGACTGTTCCGCTGCGACAAAAGAAGCGGTGATTTTTCGGAGCGTTTACTTCAAAGTGCAATTTACTAGCGCTCAGGCGTGCCGGCCACAGCAGAGCAGATTCTCGCTCAGCCGTTGCGATCTGCGCTTGTATTAGTCACAGTGTCACACACTAAACACATAATACAGTCTCAGTACAGTCGCGTTTGATTTAAAGACATTGTATTTCAGCGACTATATATAGAGCAATGCGTGTATTGCTGGTTGCTGCGCTACAAATATTTTAACAGTTTTTGTTTACAAAATCACATAGACAGCAAAAAACATGCGACTGTTCATTTGTTTTTGTTGCACTCGCGGAAAAATTTTGAATATCTGGCACTGTACTCACTGTATGATGTCGTCGTTATATGTGTCTTTTTAAATTGGTGATTGAAGATTTATAACAAATATTTTGCTTGCATATATGTATTACAACAAGGTTTACTTTCATGCGTTGGTAAAAATAAATTCCACAGGAAAGATTTTCTTCGTTTATCCATTTCCAATTTTATTTGTAATAAAAATTTATTAGTAGTAATTTAGGACAAAATAACGGGTCACGACGCTATATCAAATTCAAATAAATAATGCGAAAGCGAAATAACAAATTGAGCTAAATCTACGAAAGTTGGCACATGACATGCTTGAAAAACAGCGCATAACGAAAGTATCCCTAACGCTAGCCGCTATTAAGCACTACAGGTGTCGATTTATGAACTCTGACGCGGAAATAAGGGAACAATATCACGGTAGGAATGTATGCGCGCGCTACCAGGAGCTGTTCCGAAATATCGCAGCTATTTGTCACTGCTCTGTTGCCGGAGCAGTAGCAAGTGTCACTGCTCCGCAAAAAGAGCAGTTTAGCCCATCTCTAATAGAAAACGACAGAAAGTATACAAATCATGACAATGGTTCAAGTTAACAGTATTTTGAACCCTCACCTCTATCAACCTAAAATGAAACTGTTACAGGCTTTATTGGGAACCTCTTTAAATCGACCAGGTGAATGGCAACACCCGGAAAGACAGCGACAAGTTATTTTCAATCAGGAATTGTATACACATAACAATATCCCTAAAGTGCGGTTCCGGGTAGGGGATCGCCGCCATTATTACATGGCTAGAAATTGGCCTCAATGATTTGGGATCGAGGGGGATTATCCCTCTTTATCCTGCCTCATATCGTGTAGGCCTGGACAGCCTTCGTAGGTGGGCCCCATCCGTCGTCTACCCCGACCGCAAATGCGGCCGGTGTAGGCGCTTTGTGGAACCTCCTTTTGTCCTGGCTGGGCCCCGCCGGCTAGGGCCCTTTCTTCTGGCGCTCTTCTTACTTTGCCGGCTCGTCTGTGTAAACCCCGTGGGTGGTGTCATGTTTATGGTTGGGTAGGGTGGTGCGGCTATGCAGCCTGGGATGCGCTTTGCTAAGGTGGCCCTTAGGCTAGCGCGGGAGGGGAGGGGTAAGGAGGGTATGGGGGGTGTGTATGTGTGTGTGTGTGTGTCGTTGTCTTCGTTTCTTGATCCTGGCTGTCTCTGAAACAGAAAAGGTTAGCGGGCAGGGGGGGGGGGGTCTTGGGGTGGTCACCCAGGGTCAAAAAGTTGGTGTCTAGGTCTTTTGTGTTTGTCGGTCACGTCGGGTACGTAGTCAACGGCTTGCCTGAGGAGGGGATTGTCATGTCTCGCGGCTACGTCAAACCGTTTCTGCGTGTTTCGTCTTATTGTCTGTGTAGCGTTTGTGTATTGTAAGTCTCGTAATAAGTCAGAGTTTCTTATGTACCAGGGCGCGTCGGTGGCCGTGCGGAGGGCTATGTTTTCCACAGCCTGTAATGACTAAGTGGCTTTTTGCCGCGTGACCCCGCGCCGTGGAGGCGTAAGTTAGCTGCGGTTGAAGTACCACCTTGATAAGCGTTCGCTTATTCCTTAAACTGAGGGTGTTTCCACCTTTGAGTATAAGGGATAGAGTAGCCCTGGTGGTCTTCGCTCGCGCCACCGTCTCCACGATGTGCGGTTTCCACGTGAGACGCTGGTCCATCGTCACGCCCAGGTATCGTGTTTGTCGATTCCAGGAGATAGGTTCCTGGGATAGTGTCAGTCTGTCGAGGTTTTGTGGGATTTTTCGTTTGGTAAAAAGGATAGCCGAACTTTTGTTGGGATTAATTTTGACTTTCCACCTGTTGCACCAGGTTTCAAGTTGGTCTAAGGAGTTTTGGAGGAGGGAGACGGAATATCTAGGATCTACGGATTGGGATGTGATTGTCAGGTCGTCGGCGTATAAGTATATGTTGGTGTTGGGGGGATGTGGGATGTCGGAGTTGTAAATGGTGTATAGGTGTGGGGACAGGACGGTGCCCTGGGGGACACCGGCCTCCATGGGACGGGTGGTGGAAAGGGAATCTTGGATTTGGATGCGGAATTTTCGGTGGTGTAGGTAGGATTTTATGAGTTTGGTAAAGGATATGGGATATTGGTTGGTGAGCATTTTCATCAGTAGGCCTTCATGCCAAACCGTATCGAAGGCCTTTGCGACGTCCAGGAAGACAGCACCAGTGTACTGTCCCCTGTTGAAGGCCGCCGTGATGTGCTCGGTAAGGCGAAGGATTTGGAGTTCAGTGGAGTGATTGGGTCGGAAGGCGAACTGCTCGTCTGGAATGACTTGCAGTTCTTGGGAGTGGGTTCTTAGACGGGTTAGGATAATTTTTTCTACCACTTTGCTCATAGCCGGGAGCAGGCTAATGGGCCGGTAGTTGGATGGGATGGTGTGATCTTTGTTGGGTTTTGGGATAAGGATTATGTTTGCTGTTTTCCAGCGGGTAGGGAAGTGTCTTAGTCTGAGTGTCGCGTTTGTTATGTTTAGTAGGGCCATGAGGCCCTTGTGTGGTAGTCGTTTAAGTGTCGTGTTATGTATATTGTCGGGTCCGGGGGCTTTTCTGTTTTTAAGTCTGCGTATTGTCAGTCTTAGTTCGTCAGGTGTTGCGGGGGGGATTATGTCATTGTCTGGCTCTCTGTCGACGCGTCGGGCCGCGCGCTCAGCCACTATCTCGAATTCCTCGTCTTCGTCGGGCAGCTGAGGCAGTCTACACTGCAGTTCCAGGCTATCGGCGAAAGCCTCGGCCTTTTCCTGGTTCGTGTAAACCACCCCCACACTACCGTGGATTGGAGGAATTTTACGGCGAGCGGTCTGTCGCAGGGCCCTCTGCGTTTTCCAGAGGCTGTTGTCTTGTGGATCCAGCGACTCCAGGTGCCTAGCCCAGTTATCCTGGGCCAGTTCATCCAGAGCCGCCTTCACCCGTCTGTTAAGTACGTTTAAGTCATGTCTGTGTCGGGGGAGGCGGGTGCGGGTGGCAAGCCGTTTCGCACGTCGTCTGTCACGTATTAAGTTTTTTATGTCATCGGGGAGGGTGCCCCGGGGGTTTGTCAGTCGGGGGACAATAGTCTCCGTCGTAGTCTGAGTCAGGGCGTTTTTAATGTCAGTCTCAAGGGAGAGGATTGCCGCCTCCAGATCATGGGTGGTTTCGATGACTGGGAGCGCCATGTTTCCTTGCATTACTGTTCGGAAACGCTCCCAGTCAGTGAACCTCCTCGTGAAGGTGCCTTCATATCTCTGTCTTCGCCCCAGATCCAGAAATATTGGATTGTGGGCGGAAGACCCTTCGTATTGGGTGGATATTTGGGCATTTAACGGTATAGATTTTAAGAGGGCAATGTCGATAACGTCGGGGCGTCCTACGGGTCCGTAATGTGTCGGTTCTGTCGGTCCGAGTATAGTCAAGTCGTCGTGTCTGTCTTGGTAATTCAGCAGGACGCGACCTCTTGTGGTCGTCGTCCCGCTGTGCCATATGGGGGACTTCGCGTTGAAGTCCCCGATGGCAATTGTCTGGGGCCAGGAAAGGATTTTGTCTAAGTCATTGTCAAGTAGTGGTAGTCTGGGTGGGTGGTAACAGGACACCACCGCAACGTCTCCATGCCGTAGCGATCTCACCGCTATCGCCACGGCCTCTGTGTTTTGAGTTTGGAGCCGCTGCAGCGGATAGTGGTCGATGCACTTCTTTACTATGAGTGCAACACCACCCCCGTTACGGTTTCTGTCATGTCTGTATATGTCATAGTCAGGGATGGAGGTACGGGATGCCTCGCTGAGGTAGGTCTCCTGGACAGCCATAACGTCTATGTTTAGACGGTTCAAGATGTCCACGAGTTCCGTTTTTTTGGCCCGGAACCCGTCAAGGTTCCAGGACGAAATTCTCAGCGAGGAGGGTTGGGAGGGCCGACGAGCCATTAGAAGTCGAATAATTTTTGCATATTCGACACCATGGTCGTCAGCTGGACGCAGAAGTCCTGAAGACGCTTTGTTGCGTCAATCAGGGCCGCCGCGCCCGGTTGGGAGGGTGTCGTGTCTGTGTGTGCGTGTGGTGAGGTGTTGTGTTTTTGTTTTTGTGTGTTTTGTGTTTTTCTGGTCATGTCAGCGTATGTGCGTCCTGGGGTTGTGTTTGGGGTGGGTAGGAGGGGCTGTCTGTGTGTTTGTGTAGTGTTTTG